ACCTATTCGTCGAAGAGCTCCTCATCGGGAGCTTTGTATTTTTATCGGGAAGTGCATGGCGACCGAGCGATGGTGCCGGCAGTTGCCACGCAAGCCTCTCCTCCCGAAATTGTTACAGAATTAGTATGCGCGCGTTGATGTTTTTTGCTTTCGACCCGCCCCTCTCCTCCGTCCCTTGCACCCTTGCTCGTGTTCCTCTGTCGCTCCCTTTCAATCCTCTGTCACCTCTGTCCCTCCCCGTCAATCCTATGCTCTCGCTCTTTCAGGCTCCCGTTGAATCAGGTCTAGGCAGGTCAGCCATAACCTCCAGATGTCGCTGCTATGACCGCATGAGGGCTTCTCGTACAGTAGCAGGTTGCTCTTGATATTTTGAATTCGGGAGATTATGTGCCCGGGCCCCCAAACTGTAAGCTCTAGCCTGTAAGCTCTGTTTGGGCCCATAAGCCCCAACATCTTGAGCTTCGGCGTGGGCCGCCGTAAGTCTATGGCAGCCCTGGGCCCGATCCAAGCCGCCGTGCAAGTTCCAGCGCCGTTTCTGTTGACAAAGACAAGTGGATGCGGCCTGCCGGACAAAAAAGGCTGCCAAGTAGCGTTCAGAGCACACTTACTAGGTGTCGCTGGTTCATCCGCGGCACTCACACAGAGGCCTTTGCACAGCGTGCTTCCCCGTGCTTGCAAATCGCGATGGCAGAGAATGCCCACCAAGCTAGACAGAGCCAACCCGAAATTCTCTGTCAGCGAGCTCGCGTTTTCTAAATCTGTTCATGATGCCTCAGCCCCTTGCAGACCTCATTTCGCGAACCCACATAAGCGTTTTGCAAGCTCGTTCTTCGCAGGTGCGCACTTCGAGGTTTGTCCCACCTCTTCTCTGGAAACAGGAGCCTGGACTTCCAAAGAGGCACCAACTTTACTTTTACTGTTTGGGAAGCGTCCAAAGAGTTTCCTTTGAGACATCGCCGGGGCTCATGCCCATCACTGACCCTGCAGAATCGATATCGGTGCTATGCCGTAGAGGTAATGGAGATTTCCAGTGACCGGCGCAATGGCTACACATGTGGAGCCGTAGGTAGAAAGCATTACAGAAAGGCGCCTAGCCGTCAAAGCGATGCATTGAGTGACACTTGTTGTGCCGGCTTGTCATGACGCTTCTTAGACAAGTTCCCAGGTCTTGCTTTTTCAATGACCGAAAGGCCTTTGAGAAGGTGAGAAGGTAAAGTGACGAAGCCCACAATCCGAACATTTCAATTCCATATTCAGGCTTAGCTTGAACATGGACGACATGTGTAGGGCCCCCGGCTGCAAGGGAGTGCCAAATTGGCCACAGCACCCGCTGCTGACGATGCTGGAAGCCGGGGCGAAGGCCCGCAGCGACTCGTGCAGTTGTCGTTTATGGATCCAGGTAGGGAAGCCACGCAGACAGATGGCAAGACTGTTATTGCCCAGTGCTGCAACAAACGCCGCAACTCACACTTGCAATAGTCATGCTGCTGGTGTGATTTTTCCCCTTGTTCAGTCCCACAAGAAACCGTCGTCACTGGCCATGCACAGTGCTCACACGATTACAGAAGCCTCGCCTGTATCTAACGTAGACATCGACAGTTTTCTGCTGAGCATTCAACAAACTGAACGCACATTCTTTGACACCATGGGTCACGGTGAAGCATCTTAGTAGGTGGGAGGTCTGTCGAACAGAAGCCCGAAGGCCAGATCTCCTCCCGCTGCTGTGATTAGCTCTGCTCGCCATTGGGACCCTTCTGTCTGCAGGTTTCGATCAATTCGGACGACCCTACAGTTCCCTCGGCTGAGAGGGACTCATTGCCCAGTAGAGGGTACTCTATGATAAACAGAAGCGAACAGACCAGAGTTCCGTCCCTTATGGCCCTTATGTCGTACTTAGTCGTACTTGTACTGTAATAGTTATACCCCAAACTGCTCTCAGTATAAAGACCGCTTCGCTTCGTGGCTCTGGGCATTTCTGTTAAAGAATCTTGCGAGCCAGTCGACCTGTGGTTTCTGAAAGATCAGGGGTTCGTGTCTTTTTTTTTGTTGGGGGGGGCATGCAGGGTTTGGGGGTCACCGGTGTGCAGCTGCAAAGCTGTGGGGCTCAGACAGGTGTAGCTACAGCCACCCAGAGCTTCTGTCTCAATGCTTTTGCCCACCGATTTAAGCCCGAAACCTACAATTCCAAAGCCCAAGGTTTTCGACACATCGCTCTCTGAAGAGCTGCTGCTCTGCATAAGAAAGATGAAGCTCACTCGCGAGCAGGCGAGATGTCGGGAGCACAGTGGCGAAGCAACTTTTGGACTCGTGACTCGGGGCAGAGCCCGAACAGTTTCGCAACGGTATTGTCGCGCACGGCAATGATTGAAAGCTGTCTCCATGGCCCCATGGCCACGCAACACTGAACCCTACGCCCCCCCCTGATCCCTGAACTGGCCTGTCCGAGTGTGAGCGCCGAAACCCTCAACCCTCAGCCAGAAAGCCTATATACCGTAAACCTGAGTCCCAGTTGCGAGAGCGTAAACCCACCCCTTTAATAAAAAAACCAAGTCCTTGACAACCCTGTATTACCCTGTAATCCCTAAGAAGGTGGTTCAGATGACCCTCTCGGCCGTCGAGAGTGCCTTCGCTGCCTGGCCAGACAAGCAGACTACCCTGTCTTTCTATTGGGGTTTAGGGGTTTAGGATTCAGGACTTAGGGTTTAGGGGTTGGGGTTGGGGTTTTGCGTGTTTTTCGGGCGAGAGAAGCCTACCGCGAAAGGGTTTAGGATTTGGGGTCCGGGGTTTTGGGGTTTCGGGTTTGGGATTTCGAGTTCGGAGTTTTGGGTTCAGGGGATTCAGGGTTGAGAGCCCAGGTGTAAATAAAAGGGTTGTGGGGCATTCGAAGCCCTGCACAAGGCTGAGGCTTCCCAGTCCTCTACTGTATACGACCATGGCGAGTCTCAACAAGATAGTATCGTATGCATGATATATTACATAATTCTATGCACTATACTATACTTTTCGCATATTGTAGTATTGGGATTTGTAACCCCGGTTTTGTGCTTGCGGCCCCCAGGGAGAGGACGAGGAGCTCACCCGTGCCGCTTCGTTGCACGTGTACTGGACTTCTTGCTACAGCGATTAGGGTTCAGGGTTTTGATTTAGTCCAGGTGTAAAAGGGTTTTGATTTAGGCTCACTGCTACAAAGCGTGCTATCCGGGTTGCTGGTGTTTCTAGAATCGTTACTACCAGAGTTTCTGTAAGGGTGACTTTCCGGGTTGCTGTATCTGGGGCGGTCTTCGGTCGTGGTCCATAGGATGCCCCGGGCACACATTTTCTGAGTTGTGGGCTTGCGGACTTCGAACCCAAAGACAACATGCACAGTTGATGGGTCCATGTTTTCGTGAGTAGGTGAAAGCTCGGTTGAAGCTGTGCATAGTTTACAGTAAAGTAGATAACCTTTACACCCTTTGGGGGAGGGGGGTGATTATGTAACCCCAAAAAGCTAACCTTTAGTTCCCCTAGGATACTATTGGACAGGTGGGATTAACAAGAGGAGCCTGGGCAGCCAGTAGCTCCGTAAGTTTTTGTCATGATTCGGTCCAGGGGTTCGTACTGGGTGCACTGCGCTGTCTTCTAGCGTCGATGGGAACCTTGTGAGCTGTGGCATATTACGACAGACACATTCCGATTATGATTGCTGTTGTTATTCGTTGTTGTAAAATTCTGAATGGTATTACCATTTTTGCCATTCTTTATTGTTGCGATTCTTTATTGTTCATTATTATGCGTGTTCTTACTCTTACTCTTGTTCCTCTTTTTGATGTTGATTCTTATCCTTTCTATCATTACTATCATTGCCAAGATTATTATGATTACTCCGACTATGCACGCATGTGTCGGACAGGTGTAGTGTTGAAGCTTTCAGTCTAGCGCTGAGGGCTTGGAGGTAACTCGCCAGTTGCGATGTATGTTCGCAGCTTGAGTGCCAACAAGCCTTGATTCTTGTCAACGAGAGTGCTGAAAGCTGCTATTTTGATCTGCGCTATCAACTCATTCACGTTCTTCAAGTTGGGTAGCACTTCTTAGAAACCTCTCGTTCCTGATGTTGATTTCCCCTCCCCGAACATCCGAGATCCGCCAGCGCATCGAGCAGTTCGCGGCAAACGGAAGTGCTTAAGCAACGGAGGGAAAATGGAGCGGCGTCCGAAGAGCCTCGCGAGACAGGTGATTGTATCCAGGGGGTATTGCTGTAGCAGAAGACCTTTAAGTGGCTAAGTCTATCGTTTGATTCTCCTGACAGTTACTACGGGCTCCGGAACACGCGCGATTTGTGATTATGTTTCTGGTCGTTGATGATGAGGACCTGTACACTGTGTAAGTTTCGGCATTGGTTATTCGGAGCATGTTTGTTACTGCTAGTGTCATGCAGCTTCGGGTTTCTGCATCCCAGTGCTTAGAGCTCCAAGAAATGTCCTTGGCGAGAGAAGCCATCTGGAGTAATTAGTACACATCAGTAGACCCCCAGCCTGGCGACTTGTATGCCGAATCTGTAGTCCAAGTGTCGTATAAGGGCCCCGTAGAATTTGGGCCTCCGCAAGCCCCGGCGCAATTTGCGACTGGCGTTCTGGGAGGAGCAGGGCGAAAGTGCCCGGCAGACTCGGTAGACGCTACTAGGTTACTAGGCCCGAATCCCAAGTCTCCCTTGATACGTAAGGCGCTTCTAGAAACGCTGTGACAACTCCTTTGTGGAATTCTGTTGCAACACAAGTCTATATATACTGTAAGCCCATCACAAGTGCATCAACAAGTACATTTACAGAAATTTAATAGATCGATGACCCGTTTAGAAAATCTCTTCCTAAGAAACCCTAGTGCCTTCCCTGAAGGTCCCCTAAACCCTACACCCTAAAATGGCAAGTTGAGGCCTTTAAGCTCAGAACACAACTCAAAACCCTGCATCGCAAGTTCGTCTTAGCCAGGCGGCAACAACAAACAACATAACCGAAGCTCCCAAGGTCTTCCAGTGTGCCTCCTTATGCTGACCGCGGCGCTCTGGCTAGCTGAGCTCGAAACTCGGGGTCTGCGGGCTTTGGGTTCCTACGGTTCTATAAGGGTTCGTATATCATCGGTTCTATAATCATCGGGTGCAGTCTTAGGGTTTTCGGCCTGGAATAAGGCTTTAGGATTAGCCTTGTATCTATCACTATAGTTTTTGATATGCACATGGGTACGTATACGTATCTGTGTAGTTGGATGTAAGCGTCCGCGTATGTATGAATAAACATGTGTATGCACATTCGTACATACACACATGTATATGTATCTGTATATGTATATGTATATATATATATATATGTACATGTATTTGTAGGTATATGTACATGCAAAAAGTATACAGACATATCTGTATCTGTATATGGGTACGTACATGTATGTGTATCTATGTTTGCATGTATGCATGTATGTATGTATGTATGTATGTATGTCTGCATGTATGTATGTTTGTATGCAAGCATGCATGTATGTACCCGCATGAAACTTGCATGTTGGTAAAACGAATTAACATTTGCAGCCCAGAAGATTTTTGCAACCCTTAACCCTAACCCCATGGTTGGGGAGGAACACATTTGATGGGTGATCGGCTCGTTTCAGCTTTACTTCCTGCCGGCCTCGCAGAGTTTTGTGTTTTTGCTCCAGCACAGAGCCGTGTGGTGGACTTCCGGGCCGAAGCCAACAGAACTCTCGTTCGCTCCTTCCTCCAGTTTTCGGAGTGCATCTGCCGTTAAATCAAGCTGCGCCCTTTTAGTTTGAGAATTTGCTTCGGGTTTGAGAGGATTGCAGTATGAGTGCACACGCAGCCTTTGAGCGCCTTGGGGTGTTCCAGAACTTTCTGCGGCTATAGCTTGCTCGTCGTCATGACCATGTCCGGACAGTCGCCATGCCGGACACTGCTGCGACGCAGATTCTTTGCCGGCAGTGTGGCTTGGCATCTTGGCGCTGCAAGCCCAGAATTCCCGACGTGTTGTTGGTTTAGGTTTTAGGGTTGGGGGGGTCAGTAGCAAGGATCAGGACCACATCCGTGGGTGATAAAACCTAATCCTGGAAGACAAAACTTCCATGTCTGCTCGCACAACATTTTGAAATTGTTTTCTGAATCACTGTCCACTGCTTGAGAGTTGACACCTGATACTGGGGTTTCGGCGGATGTCGACCAGCTAAGCAGCCTGAGACATCAAGCCCAATCCGAATGTAAAGATGTCATGGAGCTACGGCTTGGGTCGATCGTTCTCACCCGTGTGTTTCTGCCACACTTCTTTTAGTATCCGGTCGCCCAGGCTCGTGGTTCTTTTACTCGTCCGCGCGCAGCGTGGCAACAACAGCTTTGTTGGCGATCGGCGGCATTTGAACGCCAGGCGCCGTTTGCAAAGCTTTCTGCATCTGGCTTCAGGGGGTAGCCTTGAAAGTCCACTGAAAGCTCTGAAGCTAAAAACCAGCTCCTTAGAGCCGGAGCAGTCGCGACATGAGAGGAACACATTAGTGATTTCTAGCAGAAGAATCGATAAACAGAAAGCCATCATGGAAGCTTTATGATAGGCTGGACATGCTGCCGCTGTCTGGTTCTATGTGACTTCATGATGCGCATGCTCGAAAAGTAGAGTCCACAGATGTTACAGGTCACGGGATTACAATCCGGAACCTCGATCAATGACTTTCCAGATGCACTTGGGATCAGCAAAGAGACTGTGGCACGAGAGTTCCTCCATCTTTCCCAGCTCCACTTGAAGCATCCCTTGTTCCTGGCGAGGGCTTTGATTTCAAGCCGATCGGCAACTGCTGACGACGAGCTTCGGTCGAAGATCGAAGGACATTTGGCATGGTATACCATAGGGGCCTTAATAATTTACCAATACTACTCTGGGGTTTCCTTACCTTATTATAATTATAGTGTATTGGGCCCCACGGAACCCCAAAACCCCATTCAAATTATTAAGGCCCGGTTTCAGGAACAGTGCTAGCAACGGGCCTTTGAGAGTTGGGAGCGGTGGGGCCTATGACTGCGGGCTAGGGTCAGCGCTTGGAGACGACGGGACTCGGATGGAAAGTTTCTAGTCGGTATGGTTCTATAGGGACAGCGATCAACCACATAGGCACTGCACTTGTCGGGTCAGAGGGCAGGAAACGTTGCGGCAGGAATGCGAGCAAGAGACATCAAGGCTGAGCTGACGGACAGTGGCGTGGACACTTCGGACCTTTTCGACAAGGAGGACCTCGCCAAGCGCTTTTTGACTGCGATTCCGTATTCTGGAGCCACAAGGTTTAAGCCAACTCTTTGTTGCTTTCGTGGACAATCCTATTATGGCCTAAACATATTGGGGAATTTTTCCCCCAATATGTTTAGACAATCCTATTATGGCCCCGTGGCAGCCCTGAGTTCCAGTACCCTGCAGAGTCACATTACTTCCCGTTGGTTAGTAGGGAATGGAGGAATGGGGTACAATAATAACTACTACTACTACTACTACTACTACTACTACTACTACTACTACCATTCTTCCATTCCCTACTAACCAGTGGTAAGATTAGGCCTCTTCGAGCTTCGATCTGGCACCAGCGATGGACGCTTGGCAGGTAAACTTGTGAGATAACTATCATTACGACTACTATGTATTATTGTTACCACTACGACGACTACTACTACTACTACTACTACTACTACTACTACTACTGCTGCTGCTACTACTGCTACTACTACTTTGCAAACCCCTCAGCCTCCGCCCTAATGGAGAAACATAATTTCGGCGGTAAAGCTGCATACAACGGTTCCAAATGGCTTCTTCCCTTTCCCAGTCTTTTAATCTTCGCCCTTCATTCGGAAGACCACAGGCCTTCAGTCCTACGTTCCTGTGGTTGTCGCTCCTGAGGCTGTTGCAGCATGTGGTTCGATTGCGGGGTTTTGCGAAGGGGAAGGTAATGTTGGGGAAGGAATTCATCTAACACTTTCTAGTACACCATCGCTTTTGCAATGAAACTTGGAAAGTCGACACACGACAAGTATGATGTTAGTTAGGACCCCCCACAATGATCCTCAACGCTTTAAGCGACCCCGTAATGGCATCCTTACAGGGCTGCGGTTGTACAGTTGTCTTGCCGAGTGTTTGGGTGCATCTCCGGTCCCAATGCCTGCTGATATTTATGTATATAGTCTTATATACTATCATTACTGTTATACCGATGAATAAATGTGTATATATATATATAGAGAGAGAGAGGTTTTTGCGACATTAGGATTGGCTGTACTTTAAGCACAGGATGAAGAGATGACTTATTGCTGCTGACGCTGCTGCTAAGACTTTTCGTACTAGTAGTGGTAGTGGTGGTGGTGCTGGTGGTGCTGGTGGTGGTAGTAGTAGTAGTACTACTACTACTACTGCTACTGCTACTGCTACTGCTATTACTACTACTACTGCTACTGCTACTGCTACTACTACTACTACTACTACTACTTCTACTTCTACTTTTACTACTACTTCTACTACTACTACTACTACTACTACTACTACTACTAGTACTACTACTACTACTACTACTACTACTACTACTACTACTACTACTACTACTACTACTACTACTACTACTACTACTACTACTGCTACTGCTACTGCTACTGCTACGACGACGACTACAACAACTACTACTACGACGACTATGACTATCATTCTCATCAGCAGGCTCTTCATCGGGGAGAGGTTCCGGCTGCTTTGAGCTTCTGCTGCGCACGATATCACACGATAGCCTAAACCCCAAAACCCACAACAGCTCATCGATCGATGTTGTGCTGAGGTGCTCCAGTCCCCCCACCTGCCAACTCCGAAGCTGGCGTGGCGGAGGCTGCAAGAGTGGATTCCAAGTTTAAGGTGTACCGAGTTTAGGATTGCAGGAGTTTTCATCACGGAGTCCCAGCTGCAAGGGGTTTTGGTCAGTTGCTGGTCGAAGGGAGATCCGACGACACTGCAGTACCATCATCCTAGATTGGATGCTGCAGTGTGGAGCTCTGGCGTGGGATTTCTATTGGGAGCTCAGGGAATGGCGCCGAAATTTGCGAAGGCTGTTGATGCATCGCCCGATCAAATCATTCTTGGTGGAATCTACTGGTCGGGAAATTTGTTCATCAGAGTGGGATGGATGTCTCAACACCCCTGAGTCCCCTTCACCCCTCCTGAGACAGGAAAGTACGGAAGAGGAGAAGTCACCGGAGGACTTCATGGCGCAGTGCCGTGCCATGACCGTGAAAGCGCTCCGCACGGCACATGGCCTGCACTTGGCAGGGAAACAGTCGACAAAGCGAGACGTAGATGGGGTTTAAGTTTGCACAAGATGACAGCCCGCCACACAAATCTCAAGCAGAAGCCACTGAGCAAGCTGTAGAGATGCAGAAGCTCGGTTACTTCAATTTGGGACCTCATGAGACTGAGGAGCTGGGAACTCGAAATATCAAGTGGGCAGACGCCTTGGACAAGGCCCTGTCATGCCATTTGTTTGCTGAAGTGCGACATGGTTACATGGTTGGACGATCTGATTGCTCTTGCTGCATTTTCTGTTGTGCTCTATGTCGCTGAAGTTCTCGCCTTTTCCATAACTCGACCAGCCTGATACACTTACTTGACACACTACGTTTTTGACGGATGAATGGCCAGCAAGCAAGATATTCAAACCGGGTACGGGTTCCGCCTCTTGCAAGCAATTGCCCTCGTCGTTGTCATCGTCTCTTGCAAATGATCATGCTTGTCAATGCCATTGCCATCAGCAAGCTTGGTGCTCTGCTGGAAGTGTCGTCACCGTGCCAGCAGTAGCAGTAGGCATGAGTAGGAGCAGTCGTCCTCCTCCCCTTCCTCCCCTTCCTCCTGCTCCTCCTGCTCCTCCCCCTCCTCCTCCTCTTCCTCCTTGTCGTTTGTCGTCGGCACCGGCGCTGTCATCGTCGTCATCATGGAGGTCGTGATATTGTTGTTGTCGGTGGTGGTGGTGAGGTGTCGGTGCTACTTTGAATGCAGTTGCCGGTGTCGTGC